CAGCTCTGAGATCCCGGCCGGCTGAAAGCTGGTTTCTGGGGTTTTGTTTAGCTTCTATATTTGTTACAATGTTTCAAACTGCCAGCTAAGATGCCAGCAAGTCAGGCGGGGAACGTTGGAGTCCTCCTTCACTGAAGCAAGCAAGCCTCATGTTCGCTTCCAGCTGCCTGGCTGCCGGCCACCATCTTGGCTGGCAGTTAATTTGCATATCGCCCTGATTAGCCAATGGGGAGGGTAGCGGTCATACACTAATTACCATGTTTCTCTTTTATTAGATAGAATTTTCCCCTCCTTTTTCTTAACTCTTTACCTAAAATATTTTTGCAATCTCTTAAATATTCTAGAGTTTCTACATTTTTATAAAATGATAAATCCCATTTCTTGATTATCTTCATTCCTCTCTGTCTGATTTGACTTTGTTTTAATAATGTTTGTTTGCTCCTTTCTATTCTGTAAATGGTAATGTTCCCTGAAATTTTATCCTTGAATAGCTTACTATTTTGAGTTCCACACGCCTATGTTTCTTTTAATCATCTTCACCTGATCACTGAGACATTGTCTTTGTTACTATCAAATGTCCTCAGATGACCCTATACTTCTGCTTTGGACTGTCACAGAACTTGTAATATAATTTGGGAGTCTATACTTTTTCTCCAACTCCTAAAACTCATTGATCGCTTAGTTATACTGCTTGTTATTTTTATTGCAGTACTAGATGCATGAAATCCATGCAAGGCTTGGCCCTCGCAGCCGCAGCAGCTGCCTCAGCCCTTGTGCTCTGGCTTCGTCCAGAAGGTTGTCTGAAGGTTGTTTGGCTATCTGGTCTAATTAGCATATTACCCTTTTATTATTATAGATAGGATACATACACAAAAAATAACATTAGTTCTGCTTGTTTTTCTACTTCCCAACAAGCAGTATCTCAATATATACCCTCTATTGGCTTTTTTAAAAAAGTTGTATTTGTGAGATTTATTCATATTGTATGAGTTCTCATTGTGTTTCATTAAAATTTTATTGAATACTACTTGACAGTTTCATAATCTGTTTTACTCTTCATGGATTTATTTTTGGTAGTTTACAGTTTGGGGCTACTATGAATGCTATTAATACAGTATATGACTTTAGTTAAGCTATGTAGGCATTTCTGTCATGTATACATACATAGATTGGAACTGGATGTGACCTAGATTATATAGGTATATGCAAACATAGTGCATATGTAAATGCTTGCAGTCTATGCCAATTGTTAACCATATGTAATTCTCTGAATTATTTATGCTAGTTTATACCTTTATGATTTGTGTTTATACCATTGACCCTTGTCTAGAAAGTCTACTTTGTTATTCCCAAAGCATCTTAATCATGGTTCATATTTAACATGTTATATTATTTAGAAATTCTTTATGTTTTGTCATATTTGCCATCAGATAGAGAACTCATGGGTGAAGTCAAGAATAAAACATTGCATATTTATTTTCATTTTATTTTTCTGGTAGATTGATTCACATGTTTGCCAGATGTGTTCCCAAGGGGATGAAGATGATAAACTTCTTTTCTGTGATGGCTGTGATGACAATTATCACATCTTCTTCCTATTGCCATCTCTTCCTGAAATTTCCAGAGGGATTTGAAGGTGTCCAAAGTGTGTCATGGCAGTAAGGCCTATTCAACAGAGATGTTTTAAATTTAGTTTTTGGTAATTTTTAAATGCAGCCTCCTAATTAAGTAAATACTTCTGTTAGCTATTAATTAGCTGTCAGTCGAGATCAACCAATGAACTTATATGCATATATGCATAACCTCTGGACACAGACAATGGGGTAGGGAGGGCCTGGGGTGGGATAGGAGTGAGCTGGAAGAAGTTAATGGGGGAGAGGGGTGAAGGAGACATATATAACACTTTCAACAATAAAGATTTAAAAAAATTACCTGTCAGTAACATGATAAGCAAGAATGGTTTGACAGACTAGCTGTTTGATGGTGGAGACTTAAGAAAGAGAACAAGGCCCTGGCCGGTTTGGCTCAGTGGATAGAGTGTCGGCCTGCGAACTGAGGGGTCCCGGGTTCGATTCCGGTTGGGGGCATGTACCTTGGTTGCGGGCACATCCCCAGGAGAGGGTGTTCAGGAGGCAGCTGATCAATGTTTCTCTCTCATCGATGTTTAAAACTCTCTTTCCCTGTCCCTTCCTCTCTGTGAAAAATCAATAAAATATATTTTTTTTAAAAAAGAAAGAGAACAAGGACTAGAATCCATAGATCCATAGATCCTTAATTAAGAAAAGGAGAACTATAATCCACATTACACAAATAATGGGAGGGGGCGGGGTAGGAATCTGTTTTTGTGTTTATTTAAGAAACTTATCTTACCTGGAAAGAAAAACAAACAAAAAAATGGAGATACAGCATGAGATATAAGCTGTACTTTAGGATTCTATGCTTTTTGTTTCTCTGTTGCTGAACTAGTTTCTATTTTAGGAGTGTACAAAGCCCGCTGAAGCCTTTGGCTTTGAGCAGGCTACTCAGGAGTATACTTTGCAGAGCTTTGGTGAAATGGCTGATTCCTTCAAGGCCAACTACTTCAACATGCCTGCACATGTATGCGATTATGGGATGGGAAGAGGTTGATGTCTGTCATGGAGATGGGCTGAAGTATAGTGGGTGTGATTGTTTTCTATGTCTATTATTACAGATGGTACGTACAGAACTTGTGGAAAAGGAATTCTGGAGGTTGCTGAGCAGCGTTGAGAAAGATGTTACGGTTGAATATGGAGCAGACATTCATTCCAAAGAATTTGGAAGTGGTTTTCCTGTCAGCAGTAGCAAAGGAAACCTGTCCCCTGAGGATGAGGTAATATGATTGACAATACATATTAAGAATAAGGCTAGGAAAGTCATTTTCCCATTTTGAAAGCCTCTGTCCTCATGAGTCCTTCCGCTTAGTGCTATTTTCACATATTAAATCTTAAAGTAAGATTTAATGCCATTGATGTTCTGTCAGAAACCCATAATTTTGGATAATCACAATTACCACCACTTTTCCGTCCTTGCATTCCTGATGTCGATAGACACAAGAACATTATGATGCCTTGGAATTTTCAGTTAGGTTCCACAGTGGTCCTTCAGCTTTCCTTAAATGTAAGTATTAGAATATTACCAAATTCTGGTTATCTGCATGATAGAGAAAAACAAGTGCTATGACCACCTTAGTTATTTTTGTACTTTGAAAGCACTAGGAAGGTATAATCATTGCTAAATACCCATTTGCATACATCTTTTGGAATAGATGGAGTAATACAGAAACCACTAATTTCATCCATTAATACAGGTAATCTCTTGTATAGACCAAGACCCATTTAGATGTCCCAAGTTGTAGCTAATCACATTAATATTTCTGCACATATGGAGAGCCAAACAATTTGATGTATGCAGCAACCTTATTTGGGGATAAGAAATAGTCTACGGCCATACCCCCTGAATGCGCCTGATCTCGTCTAATCTCAGAAGCTAAGCAGAGTCAGGCCTGGTTACTACTTGGATGGGAGAAATAAATAAAAATAACCCATTTCAGAAAAACCACGATGGCAGCATAGGTAAACACCGGAAATTGCTACTTCGCAAAACCACTTCAAAAAAACAACTAAAAGACAAAATGGACATCATCCAGAACCACAGGAAGGCTGGCCGAGTGGAAATTCTACAACTAGAAGGAAAGAGAAAAGCTCACTGAGACTCAGAGGAGGTGTGGTGCGGAAGTGCAGAGGTACGGAGGCGGAGGCGTGTGTGGAAAGAGCTGGTTACAGAGGACACCGGTGTCTTTTTCAATCGGGAGGGAGTCACACGCTCCCGACAGCTCTGAACTCCAGTTCCGGGCGAGTCTCTGGGGACCCAGACTCATACGGGTAGAAACTGGACTGTCTGGCATTGGGCAGAACTCAAGGGCGGCTTTTTCTCAGAGGTGCTTGCGGCAATTACTGTGGAACAGTGAGACCCAGGGCCCCTTAGGGCAGGGCTGAGGATCAGCCATAGCTGTTTGCTCCATGCTGTTGATTCCCTGAGACCCCGCCCCACCCAAGCTGTGCACAGAGGCTTTTGCATATGAATGCCCTGGCCCTTTGCAATCTAAAATTACCTAACTAACTGCAGCTTGGTCAGAGAGACCAAGCACATCCAAAAGAAGGCCCAAGGCCCCACAGCAGTTTGCATTGCTTCACAGCTGGGCATCATCTGGGCACTTCCAAACTCCAAACAAAGAAAATGAATCGGCAGATCTCTCCGTAGCTCCTGCTGGGTAGCCTCAGGAAGAGGCTAGATTAGCACCTCCTTAGAGATCCAAGAGCCAGTGTACCCATCCAAATTACAACTTCTCAGATCCATAAGGGGCACACTCAGGGGGAAGACTCAGTGAGCACCAAAGCCCCACTGAAG